AATGATAATATAAATAAATTTATAAGTTATTCTTAAATTTTTAATTTAAAAAAAGTGGAAAAAAGATAAATATTTTAAACTAAAAAATAATATTTATATTTAGACTTTTATTTTAATTAATTTTACAAGTACTTACAAATTATTTTAGTTACAAATAAAAGATAATTATTTTAAACTAAAAAATAATATTTATATTTAGACTTTTATTTTAATTAATTTTACAAGTACTTACAAATTATTTTAGTTACAAATAATAGATATGACCAATTAAATTGTTTATACCAAAATAAAATTTAAAAAAACACAAACTCACATTCTTAACATAATTTGAATGATTTGATAACCACCTGAGTCCAATGAGTTTACGTTGGCAAACTTGTTTGAAGGAGATAACATTAAAAAATTATGTTATGATACTAATCCAAAATTTTATTTTTGGATTATGGATTATTCTTTTTTGGTGGAAAGGATTATGAATTCTTTATTCTCACCCTATTAAGATTAAACTTGACAAACAAGGGTGAGGTTGGGCCGGGCCAAGTTATTGTGTGGATCAAACTGGTTTTAGTGTCATAAAGTCTTATACAGTGGAGTATTTTTAGGAATAAAATGAGTATGACTTATATTTGGTATTTAATTTAAAATTTTTTTGATATAACTTTTTAAATTTGGTATTTATCCAAATATTTATTTACAGAGTTATATTTGGTATTTAATTTAAAATTTTTTAAATATAATTTTAAAATAAATTTAAGGATTTTAAAAAAATTTTCATCATAAGAATGAATGACACAAAATGAAATAAACCTTATAATTAATAAATCATTTATTAAATTTAACAAATTCCAAATGATGAAATGATTAGGGTTACCATGCATGCATCAATTCAAGCGATCCCATCCATCCACGGATAAATATTAGGATGTTGATGGAGGCATTGACATGTCAAGCTCGGATTTCGAGAAAAAGTTAAAGACTTTTACATCAAATCAGATCTCATCGATCTGCATGCTTGGGTCTTTTCCCCCTTGCTTCTATCGTCATCTCCAAATTGCCCAATTCCATCCTTTCTTTTTCTAGTTGTCAAGGCCTCTCTAACAGTCGTTCCCAAAATAGGTCAAAAATATCCCCCATGATCTTCTCCAATTTTGGCCACCTGAATTCCCCACTTAAAACTCTCTTGCTTTTTAGATTTTTCCTCAACATCTCTTCGAAATGCTAACCATCCACTTTGTACCTTTATTTTTGTTTGTGTGTGTGGGGTTATTATTTTTAATATAAAATTGTTAAAATTATTAAATTTATATTTGATTTAAGTAATATTTATAATTTTTAATAAATAATTATAATATTTAAAAATATTAATTTATAAATAAATTTTAATTTTAAATAATAAATGTTGATTATTATATTAATTATTAATTATTTTAAATAATCAAATCAAATAAAGTTTATTTTTTTAAAAATAATTTTAGTAGTCCTAATTACAATTGTATAATTATATTAGTCATTGCCCATAGTCACACCTTGTTGGTTCGGGGTTTAATTTTTTGTCTGAGGAAGGACAATTGCCCATTAGGTTTACTTTTGTTTTCAATTTTGCTTGTAATCAATTTTGAGCAATTCCCAACGTCAACTTTGCTATTTCGATGCTTTTAACTTACTGTTTATTTATCCTGGCTATTCATATTTTTTATTTAAAAAAATGACTTGTATTTTAATTATAAGTATTACGTATATAAAATTAGTAATTTTATTTTAATTTTTTAAATATAAATTTTAAATAAAAATTTAATATATTATATAAATAAAAATATTTAACAAAAAGTTATATATAAAAAAATTAATTATTATTTATATAAATCGTTAAATTTT